GGACCACCTTTAGCCCTAAGAACTGCTAGCACTAGCTGTGACATTGAATCCACAAGGTGCTGATAGGTAGTCTTAGGTATCTGGTACTAAGCGCTCACCAACTGGTCCTGCAATTCCCTCACATTGCGAGGGGGTAGCGTGGCAGCACGAATTTAGTGTTCCAAGTAAGACCATAAATGCTCTATTGGATTAACGTCAGATGAATTTGGGGGCCAAGACTTGACTTGAAAGTCACTGGAATGATCCTCGAACCAATCCATGACGATTCGACCCTTATGACATGGTGCATTATCCTGTAGGTAAACACCATCCCCCGCAGGAAAAACTGTTACCATGAATGGGTGAACCTGGTCTGCAACTATGTTCAAGTAGCTTACAGACGCCAGGGATTGTTCTATGAGGATTATGGGTTTTAATGTGTCCCATGAAAACATTGTTCCTGGGCGAGAAGCCAGGAAAACCAGGGCGAGAACATTGTTATGGATGTGGGGGGTCATAATGTAATGGCTCTTCTGTGTATATACATATATATGTATCAAATGCTTAATAATTTAGTCAAAAAATGTTTCTCAGTTTAAGAATGGATACGACATTGACGCTTCTTGGCGTCTTTTTGTCTGTCATTGTTATCTTCATATTCAAATGGGCCCTTCGGAGACATTCGATCCACCAGACGTGGAAACGATACGGAATACCTGGACCAGAACCAGACTTCCTAACTGGGAATCTGCGCCAATTGAAGAAGGATCCTACACCGAATTATATCATATCTGATTGGATTAAAAAATATGGGAACGTTGTCGGATACTACGTGGGAGAAGATGTATTCGTAGTCATTAAAGATCTAGAGATATTGAAAAAGGTACTATCTTTTTTACTTCTTAACACTTAGGCTGCCGATCACGAATTATAACACCAGCATAGAAATGGGTTTTTCGCTGACTTTCAAGAAATGTGTGATTGAATAGAAGCAATAAAACAAGACATTGTATATCATACTGATTAGCAAGTAATTTTTTTAAATTTCCTTAATAATAAGTAATATTCATAAATTACCAATAAGTAATATTTATAAATTTCCTTATTAATAAGTAATATTTATAAATTTCCTTAATAATAAGTAATATTTATAAATTACCTATAAGTAATATTTATAAAATTACTTAATAATAAGTATTATTTATTAAGCATTCTTGTAAGCATTCTTTTCTCTTTAGAATCTTTTTATTAACCCAAATTTTTTTTCTTTTACTTGCATTTCTTCATTTTTTTAATTTAATCACATATTTTACTCATTTATTAACTAATTAAACTGATGTATCCAGTAGTAAGTTTAAATTTTGCCAACTACTTTCCAAGAATTCTAAAAAAAAAAACTTTTTTCTTCAATATTTATCAATGAAAAATCTTAAAAACATAATTTTTAGAGTTTAGACCAGAGGTTTTCAAACTTCTAAGCAACAGTACCATTTTATAATTCCTACTGTGAGGTACCATCCGAAAGAACAACCAATATTTCGAAAAAATTACTTTTGATTTATTGCTTATAAACTTACATTTCTCTTAAGTATGAAATCAATTTTAATTAAATTGTATGTAAAAAAACTGAATGTTGAATTGTACACAGGGAAAAAAGGAAATGAAGTTAGCAATAAATATAAAATGTAATTATAGATATTTTTATCAGCCTTACAAACTTCAAGGAGAAGGTTAGAAATCTTATATGCTTCAACAAATTCAGCTCAAAATTAACGAGGTCTACCTAAAATGCCCCCGAGATCTACTAGTGGCTCACTATCTACAGTTCGGTGAACACACTACTCAAACAACATTTATTTTTACACTTTGTTTGCACTTATGGTTTACGCTGGTAAGAAAATTAAAAGAATGAATTGAAATAGCAAGCAAAACTTTTTGACTCATTATTTTTACTACATTATTATTGCTGTTGGCATTTATATTATTTACGTAGGTCTTTATCAAAGACATCATTGCGTGCAGTAACCAGCCCGCAATATTTCTGGATCCACTAGTTTCCCGAAATCTACAAATTAGCGACCATAGTTCTCCAAAAACATTTATTTTTAAGATTGTTAACATTGATAAGAAAATTAAAAGAATGAGTTAAGATCGTTATCAAAACTTTTTGACTCATTATTTTTAATACTCTATTATTGTTGTTGGTATTTATATCATTTACGTAGGTCTTTATCAAAGACATCAGTGTGTGGAGTAACCAACTCACATTATTTCTGGATCTACTAGTTGCTTGTAATCTACAGTTTGGCCACCACAGTACTTCAAAAACATTTATTTCTAAGATTGTTTGCACTGATAAGAAAATTAAAAGAATGAGTTAATATCATAACAAAACTTTTTGACTCATTATTTTTACTACACTATTATTGTTATTGGTCAATATCTTGTTTACGCAGGTCCTAATCAAAGACATCGGTGTGTTCAGCAACCGACCCACATTATTTCTGGAAGCAGATCCATTTCCAAAGACATTGGTTGGTCTTCGAGATAAAAGATGGAAAGAAGTCAGGAATATTGTCACTCCTACTTTCAGTTCAGGAAAAATTAAGCAAATGACAGACATTGTCTCCAAGAAGGTAAATAAGAAACACTCTTCCATTTTTGTGCTTTAATATTTTTCTGCAATAAACTCTGAATATTGCTAAAAATTGAATCGCCACAGAAATTTCAAACTTTCTAGGCTGAACTAGATCAGCCAATTGCCAATCTAGTTGTTGATGGAAACAATTCGTTTTACCTCTCATTTGCATTGTTCTTTGAAATCAATTGATAGACAATTCGAGAGATACGTTATAGAGATATCAGCTTAAACATTTCTGTACAGCAGTTATTTTTTAAGCAAAATCTCTTTATTAATATTTTCTTTGTTTTTATCTGAAAATTTTTTTCTTTATAGGTTGATATAACTGTTGACCTTATAGTGAAAGAATCAAAGAGGAATGAAGCATTCAATATCTATAAAATGGTGCAAGGACTGACGTTAGACGTGATTGCAGCCTGCGCACTTGCAATGAAAACAAGTTGCCAAGAAAATCCTAATGATGCTCTTCTTACTAATGTAAGAATAAAAATCATAGATACCTGAAGTCCAAATACAAGTAATTTATAAATAATATAAGAAAAACACATATTTTTAAAATGATGTAGAATTTTTACAGCTAACATTCTGTAAATCAAGTACCAAAAAGAAATAGCTAATTAATATTTTAAAAATTTTTTGGGGGGAATTATCATTTCGTTTTTCGTTTAAGTGGTTCCAAAGATATGACGAACAAAGCAAAAAGCTAAATTAGCAGTAAAGGGTTGAGTATTACGACCGCTCTTTACACTAAACTAATTATACCACCTTTACTGCATTGAAGATATGCATATATTTCGAAAATAAAAAAAATCTCCACAATGCTTATTCAAAATTCGTAGTCCGATTAGTTTGACCTTAGTTAACTATCGTCTGCACAATTTAGCAAAAGGTCTACTTTTTTATTGCGAAACTTCCATTTTATTACATGTTGAAATCCGAAATAAAGAACAGGGTCTAGCAACTCGAGAAGAAGTGAAGTGATTATGCCTAACCAGGCGATTTAAAACAAATTGGATAGCTTTAGAGACGTCACACGTGTGTGTCGAACTTGATTGACTGCTGAATCGACAAGAGCCACCATTTTCCTGCATTTGTGTCACTTCCAGGTATCCAATCTTCAGACTGAAATTTTGTTTGTTTTTACACACGGAATGAAACAATTCATGGAATAATTCAGATATGCAATTAACACAAAGATTACATTCAGATATGCATTAATTCTGAATCGACAAAAGCCACCATTTGCCTGCATTTACGTCACTTCCAGGTATCCAATTTTCAGACTGAAATTTTGTTTGCTTTTACACACGGAATTAAAAAATTCATGGAATAATTCAAATATACAATTAATACAAAGATTACATTCAGATATGCCTTAATTCTGAATCGAAAAAAGTCACCATTTACCTGCATTTGAGTCACTTCCAGGTATCCAATCTTCAGACTGAAATTTTGTTTGCTTTTTCACAAGTTATGAAAAAATTCATGGAATAATTCAGATATGCAATTAATACAAAGATTGCATTCAGATATGCCTTAATTCTGAATCGAAAAAAGCCACCATTTACCTGCATTTGCGTCATTTCCAGGTATCCAATTTTCAGACTGAAATTTGCTTGTTTTTACACACTATATGAAAAGATTCATGGAATAATTCAGATATGCAATTAATACTTACTTGATTCGATATAAAATAAAGAAATATGTAAGCGGCTGATATTACACAGGATACAGAATAAAATAATACCATGAAAATATTACATGCTTAGCAAATGTTCACCATATTGTGGGTAATAAATACCGCAATGCAATTCCTGGAAGAGAGCATAATAATAGAGATTTTGCATAGAATTGGTATAGCGTTAACTCTGTAGCGCTAACCTTAATTTCTACACCTCAGCGACACTACATTTGGGTAAGAAATTTGTGCGCATGCGCTGTGACGCTAAAATAATGTTAACGTTACAATTTTTGAGAGCAGTAACACATTACAAAAGCTTTCTTATTATATACAGTTTCTACGCTAGTCACAATTTACAAAAGAATATATTTTTTCATAGTTAGATTTTGTTTACGTTAGAATTTTAAAACACTTTTTCACCAAGCCAAATGAATGAAAATTAAATATTTATAACTGAAAAATTTGTTTTTTTTTTATTTTAGGTAAGGACTATTATAGCAGCACAGTATAATAAATTAGCCATATACAGCATATTATTTCCTTTTATGTCTAAAGTACTTAAATTACTTGAGTCTGCAACATCCTTCAAACAAGCAATTGATTTTATTGTGAATCATCTGAAAAGCGTGATTAAAGAGCGACGCAAGGACACGAATTTCAAAAGTAAAGATATTCTGCAAACTCTTCTCGAAAGCAGTGAAGAAGGAACTACTTGTAAGAAAAAAATAATTTTTGTTTACCTTATTTTCAATTGGATACTTGTAATTCGAGAAGAAGTGATAATGCCTAATCGTGTGATTTAAATCTGATTTAATTGGATACCGATTCGATTCGATTTTGATTGGCTGTCGCTGATCACATGGTTAAATAATCGCCATTTTGTTGACTGGTTTGAACGGTGAAATATCATTGCACTCGAACTGTTATTTCTATTTTCGCTTTTCCTTATACTTAATTTCTTTCATACTTTTAAATTAATAATGACAGTATTAATTTAATAAGGGTATTTGGGTATTTAGGTGTTTTAATAAGTCAAAATTAGGCTTTAAATTATATCGCTTACCTGTTGGAGATCGCAATAAAGAACGATGGAAGGTATAGCTGCATAGAATTGGCAGAGAGCATAATGCAGCTCTGGGGCCCTATTACCAACTCATCGAAATTTATTCCGATCGGAAACGATTCCGATCGGAAACGATTCCGATCGGAAACGATTCCGATCGGAAACTAGCTTTCATCGGATTGCCAATTTCGAAAAACCCACTTTGCCGTAACATGAGCATATCGGAATCCGGAATCGAAATCTCCATTCCACACGATTCCGGTGAAATTGAAGTTTGTAGGCGGGACTAACTTTGACCCATTAGGAAATTACTATAATTCTAATTTATTCATCTGGCAACGATATGTTTGTCTTCTCTACTTCTATTCGAGTTAAAATCGCATTAACTTAGAACTAAAAGCTTAAAAATTCATACGTTTTACTTTAAAAAATGGCTTCCCGTACAAAAATCAATATTCGCCTGCTAATGAATTGCCCTCAATCGAATGCTCTTCATTTTGTTTTGTTTTAACAAGGAAGAAAGATAAGATAACTCATAATTTATGTAAATATTTAATAATTTCTGCCTTTATGTTGTTTTTTTTTTAATTTTTATTGTATTATTTTTTCTTTAAAGAAAACAATCATATTTTGCGTTACGCGTAAAGGGAAACCACGGAAATATCTTTCAGATTGCTTGACGCTTAAACAGCTCCAGCTTAATGTTCAGGAATCGTAATGAATTTTTTTATAAAATGGATAATTTTTTCGCATCTTTGACAGGCAGCCAATTATATTTGTGAATATAATGAGATGCTCTTTATATTTTTCGTATTTATATTTTTAACTCATCCCAAAAATCAAAGTAACTCGCAATTTAAGTATCGGCGAAAAACAATGTTTATAAAAGTTATAAAAATAATTCATTTTAACCATGATTAAGTTGAAATTAAAATTAGGAAATTTTGCGTTAAACGCAAAGAAAAACCACGAAAATGTTTTTCAGATTGCTTGGCGGTAATAGAATTTCAACTAAATGTTCAACATTATCTCAATGAAATTATTTTTTATAAGCAATCATTTTTTATTATTAATCAGGCCCTGCCGTTGTGACTCAGAAGATCTGGAGTCTCCTTGAGGTCAGGCTAACCATGGGAGGTTTTCGTGGTTTTCCGCTTCATGTAACATAAATGAGGGTTAGTTCCAACAAAAAGTTCTCCATGGAGGAAAATTTCACTTGATACAAGACTCTCCTTGTCTTCTGGATTGGATTTAAAATTACAAGACTATGGAGTTGAACATCAGTAGTCGTAAACATAAAATTAAGTCGGCTGTTCGACGACTGATAAAAATATGAAATGCATAATGTGAATATAACGAACTTCTTTCTGAATATAACGAAAAGCTCTTCTTTTTAACTCTACCCGTAAAACAAAATAAGCCGCAATTTAAGTATCAAATTACAATTATATTTATGAAAGCTACAAAAATACCCGATTTTAAATTAAATTAAATTAAAATCGTCAAATTTTGCGTTACACGCTAAGAAAATCTACAAAAATGTTTTTTAGATAGCTTTAATCGGTAGCAATGACAGAAATCAGCGCCATTTTGATCACTAAAATAAACAAACG